GGCTCCTTCTGGGTAAGCTCGCTCCTTCGTAGACTTTGTCTCTGTCATCTCTGACCAAGACTAGAGTCAAGAGCAAACACATCACAAAAAAAAAGTATAATTTAAAATTAAATAACAAATGTATTTAAAAACATGACTCTAAAAATAAACATAACGTTAATTTAACAATGTAAAAACCCTATTGTAAAATCATTTTACTCGTGCTGTTAGGGTTTAAAAGTTTAGTTTAGTTTTCAGCAATATGTAGAGCAAGGGGCCAAAATAAGCTTACTCATCGACTTCAGATGAATCAGTGGAGCGTGATGGACCCTGGTCTTCGTATGAACATGGTAAACTTTCGTACCAGCCGTGAAGCTCTTTAGGAATTATATTTTTCTTACAGAGCTGTAAAAGGTCTTTCTTTTTTTGTTTTGTTATAGGAAGACATTGTTTATATGCCGGGGGAAGATCTTCAGTATTTATAGTTGGCATTTTAGAGTTTGGAGTTCTCCTAGTCGGTCTCCCTGGTTTACAAAGAGTATTTAGTAAGTTATATGGCCCATCGTAATCGTATCTGTATTTAATAAAACCAGGTAATTCTTTTTCAAATCTAAGACATTTTATTTTCAACCAGCACACTTTCTCCCCATTCTCCGCTATAGTTTTGTTTTTAATTATTTTCGAAGCAAGTGCTTTTACATCAATCATGTCTTGATATGATAATTCAGTTACATTATATGGAGTTACATTTTTATTTTGTCTTTTTGATCTTGCCCGTAGCATAATTCCTTTCCAATCTATTATAGAATACGTGTCTGTGTACATTTTTTCTTTTTCTATGGCACTATGCATTGAATCTACTTCCATAAAACTATGACCACTTTCTAGATACTTCTGTTCTAATACTTTGATTGTCTCATGCGTATGTACTAAGTACAATAAAAATGCTGCTATGTACTGATTTCGGTTTTGTCCCGAGCACGTGTCGGAATAAATGGTGACGTACGTTAAAACCTCTGGGAGATTCTTAATCCATAAATGAATAGCAGATGCTATTTCAACACTGCCTCTTTTGCCGTTTATTTCCGTCCAGATCATACAGTGAGCGTCGTTCTGTGGAGGTTTAAACTCATAAATAGATAAATTATATAAATTTAATTTTCTGGAATAATACATTAGACTATCTGCAGTCGATGGAATCTGCAGTAGACTTTGCAAGTCCATGGTGACACACAAATATGATTTATCTTCTCCCGACTTCTTTTTATCCAGCTCTTTAGATCTATAAGATGCCTCTTTTCGCTCTATATGTTGAGTATAATCAATTTGAATATTTATATTAGTTTTATCTTTTTTGTAATTGTTACAAATGCTACATTGATCCTTCTTGGGGTGATAGAACGCTAAATTGTATTCTGTACCAAACACTTTCTTATAAATGTTTAATTTTACTGGCACTTTATTGCTTTCTTTTATTTTCTGCACATACAAATCATACATTTTTGATATTGACAAGGTAGGTTCTAAGTATTTCCTGGTTGTTTTTTTTCTACAGTAATGGGAATCAATTACAGGAAAACTTTCAATGTGATTTTTTACCTCTTGTATCTGTTCTCCAGGAGTTTTGTTTGCAGGCGCTTGTCTGCCACGATTATCCATTTTTGTAAATACACCATGATCATCCACATGTTTTACTGCAGTTTCGATTGGACCAGTAGAAATGCAAAGAGTGGACATAAAATAGTTCTTGCATACTCGTTCAAATACAGTCTTATTTTTATAGAAACCGTATTCTCTGCTAGAACTTCTTTGTTTTTCGATCGGTACAGATTTTCTTATAGTCTGCACTGGCTTAATGATGATGCGCTTAAGCAAAAACTCTTTTTGCAGCTTAAAATCTTGTATAGACCAATAGGATTTGCAAAGTTTCTCACGCTCGTTTTGTGTAAACTTTTCTGTGCATTTCTGGCGACAATTTTGGCTGCATTTAGGACTTTTAGGTAGTTTAGCTGCAAGGAACTTTCCAGTTTTACTCTTATATGGCAAACATTTTCGTTTCTTCTCCAACTCTTTATTTCTTTTCCAGTTTGTTTGATTAGTATTTTTCCATCTGTAGATTTCTTTTTCCTTATTTCCTGTTACTTTTTCTGAATCTGTTGTCTCAGCGATTGTGATATTGTGTTCCATGATCCTTCTATCACGGTTAACTGGTGAGACTTGGTCAATAGGAGTTTCAATAATAGCGCGAGTTGTTGTAATATTACCTGTTTCATCTTCAGAGTCACTCGACAAAATGGGGTTTATTCGTTCAAATCTCTTAACTCTTTTTTTCTTCTTAGCCACTGAAATATTGATGTTTATTAAAGAACTACTTTTCCTTTTTATTTTATTTTCTTCTTCTGTGTCCGGAATCCATGAAGATCCAGAATCAGAAAAAGGTTCTTCATCTGTCGAAGGTGGCATTGGTTCGATACCTGAAATTGGACTTGACCCTCTGATAGGCGAACTGACATCTTTATAGTTGTATAATATTATGTTGTCATCTTCATTTAAATTAATATTACTGCTACACAAAGACATGGGACTGACATTTACAGGCATAGGTGCTGATTGGGGTGGGTTAATGTTATTAGTAATCATTTCGCTAGCCATTATTGATGCTGGAGCCGATTCGCATGTAATTATCTTAAATCCGTCATGCTCAGGAAGCTTAGGAACATCAGTAACCAACAGCCCATCGGGCATTTTTTCTATCGTAATATCAACAGCAAAATTTATGTCGTTGCAAACATTTTTGTTCATTTCGGATGGTAATTTCTGGCATGTTATAACATTATGTTTTTGTGGGCTGACAATAATGGTACTTTGGTCCTGTTGTTCGATTGTCTTATTTTTGTCCTAAAACAATAAGAAGCAATAATATAGTAGGTATTTAATGAGGAAACAAGTAAAATAATAATCATGTGACAAGAGTTTATGCAGTCAAATTTGTCAAGTCAAGTCAAGGCACACGTTTGGTCATCAAGCTTAATAAGCCTCGGAATTCGCCAACTTTGATACGGTTAGATACATTAGGTATCTAGGTTGGATAGGTCACTTAGGTAATAATATCAGCCATACAACAAGAGTTAGGTACTTAAAACGAGACCACTCCTAAGAACTATCTGAGCACCTAGTAAACAAAACCGCCTAGTAAACAAAACAAAAAAATCTATTTGTTAACTAAAATTATTTTTTGCTATAGGTACCTTCTTTTTTATGGGGTGATAAAATCGTCAAATGAGTCCTGCCGCCCATTACTGTCAGACTTGTCAAATTTAAACGTAGGTACCCTACGTAGTTTCACTTTTAAAAGAATATTTAACGAAAAATACCCAACAAATACAATTTGTGTGACAAGCTAAAAGTAACCTTAATTCTTCAACTTAAGAGTCAATATTCCAATGAAAGCAGAAGAGTTATCAACTTCTCCCACAACTCAAAATGATTGATATTCAAACTCGCATAAGGGAGGAAAAAATAAATAAAATAAATATCAGTACATAGTTATGACATAATTATTAATTAATGTTGTTCAAACGTTCTTACGGTTAAGAAAGACGTACTTAATCGTATTATTTCTAATTTCTTAATTTAATTTGCAAAAAAATTGTTCTAAATTATCGTAGGTACATACCTCTTCCTTTTGACACATTTTCACCATAAATCTACCTCGCGAATCCATTATTGGTCACTCTGACGTCAACGCAATTGAAGGTCACGTATTAGACTAAAACGCACGACACGTGAGCGATGCATCAAACCGCAGCCGCTCACCCCCGCGCTCTCCGTCGTCGTTCCCGATCAGAATATTTCGCGCCAAATTCTCTTAAAAATTTAATGATGACTTTCCTCAGGTGCATTTTGTTTTATGGCAATTATAAACAACTTAATTTATTTAATTTTATTTGCCTAGTATCTTATAATTAATCATTATCTAGTTGTAGAAGAAATAGATAACATCAAGTATTTATAAATTAAGTACGTTATATCAGAATTCTGAATAGCAGAATTAAATAAATAGAGTTATTTAGTTTTCCTAGAACTTAGTTAGTTTTGTGAAAGAATTTTGAAGTTGAGGAAAAATTCAACAACTCATGTTATTTAATTTATTTGACATTCAACTTATCATTGACCACAGTTATTGATTTATTTACTGGGTTATTTATTTTTCCTTTAAAAAAATAGTGTTTGTCTGAAGATATTTATTATTCCATCTGTCCGACAAAAATGGCTATATTTTTGGAATGGAATAAGATACGAAAACGCCTGTAAGGCTCAAATATGCGGCATGTTTTAGGTGTTTTGAAAATAGGGAAAAGTCAATATCGCCAAAATTGGACTTATTTAATTTTCCAACTACGGGGACGATATATATGTTTAACTACATTAATCTGCGTTCTTATATCAATCCACCGTTCCCAAATTAGATGTTGGATTTTGATAAATGATATCTCAATCGCTTTAACATAATTATTAACGTGGAGGGTAACATAGACGACATGACGACGCATAAAAGAAATATCGCCGACACGCACTGTCAAAAACACTCAATCTAGAAAACATTGATAAGAAAATATATCAATTATTGTATCATCACAAACGAAAGGTATTAAATAAGAATATTCCAAATTTAATAATAATATGTTTATGAAATTTATCTCATAATAATCGTTGGGTAGAACTTCTCGTTCTCTCGTTTTCTGCCTAGGAGTCTGTACAGGTAGTGAACATCCTCTTACCTACTTCTGCCTATAGCGGGGCCTGCACTGTTCCAATCTGAAGGCCAGTAGCGAATTGTGAGCCGGTATAACACAGGCTGTGAGGCACTCTATCTTAATCCTCAGAGCTGACAACGGATCTGTAGCTTTTCATGTTCGAAATTGGCTTCAGTTGCAAATGGGCTGCAGTAGCTAGAAGTTTGTTTATCTTTTTAGTTTCATAAAAAATCTAATCATAATTTTCTTGTTTACAGTCAAGGAATGTCTGATACCAGTTTAGAACAAATATATTATTTGTTATCTTTCACGTGGTTGTGTATAAGAACATCACTGGTAGTACTTTCCGCTGCTGATGTAAATGTTTGTTCTAAGGATTCATTACCTTACTTATTTGAATACAACACGCAAACCTACAATTTAGAGGTAATCAATTATCAGTATACAATTTAATTGTAGTGGCGGTTAAGAATATCCACTACCCCATATCTTCCCGTGGGTGTCGTAAAAGGCGACAAAGGGAAACAGGCAGGAGATGGGCAGCAGCATCTTCCTGATAATAGCCAAAATAACATTAAAAAAAAAAACTGCGGTTGCGAACCCGCTCGCCAAGCGTGGCAACTATGGCAATATACCCCCCATGAGCAATGACAATAATAAACGGCCCCCAGTCCCCGGCGGCCCCGCTATTCCTGGCTACGGTGGCGACCATGGTAACGGCGGGGCAGGGGGTGCTAAGAATCTCCGGTGGAGGTTCGGTTGCCACCTACGACGACTCGACCTGGCAACATACAACGCACGCACCCTGAGGACTGACGAGAAGATTGTGGAGCTGGAAGAAGAGATAGACAAGTTACGCTGGCATATTATAGGATTATCCGAAGTCCGAAGAGAGGGGGAGGACACGGTAATCCTCGAATCCGGCAACTTGCTCTATTACCGGGAGGGCGACCATCTGTCCCAATGAGGTGTCGGATTTATCTTCCACAAGTCTCTCGTTAACAACGTTGTAAAGATTGGAAGTGTGTCGACGAGGGTTGCGTACCTTATACTCAGAATCACCAAACGGTATTCGCTGAAGGTCATACAGGTTTACGCACCAACCTCGGCACACCCCGATCAGGAGGTGGAGGAAATGTATGAGGATATCTCTAGAGCCATGCATTCCTCCAAAACCCAATATACGGTGTTAATGGGAGACTTCAATGCAAAACTAGGCACAAGAGAGAACGGTGAGCTGAAAGTAGGGAAATTTGGAATAGGGCAACGGAACCCAAGGGGCCAGCAGTTGGCTGACTTCATGGAGAAAGAGGGACTTTTTATGATGAACTCTTTCTTCCAGAAGCGGCCCCACAGGAAGTGGACCTGGTCGAGCCCCGACGGTTCGACAAAAAATGAGATTGACTTCATTATGACGACCAGACGACAACTGTTCAGTGATGTCTCAGTGATCGCGAGGGTGAAAACCGGCAGCGATCACCGAATGGTTAGAGGCACACTGAACCTAAACGTTAAGTTGGAGAGGTCTCGTCTAATGAAGTCAACGCTCCGTCCCCCTCGTGCTCTAATCCAAAGTCCCGAAACCTTTCAGCTCGAGTTACAAAACCGTTTTCAGTGCCTAGAAGACTGCAATGAAGTGGACGATTTGAATGACAAGCTCGTGGAAACTGTCCATGCGGTCGGAGCTAAGTTCTGCAAGACCCGCCGCAGAAGAACACAAAAACTCTCCGATCACACTCTTAATCTCATGGCTGTTAGACGGGAGATGAAGCTACATTCTTCAACAGATTTGACAGCATACAGGCAACTGAACAGACAGATCTCCAAATGCATGCGGCTGGACTTACGCAAATTCAATACAGCTCGTATTGAAGAAGCGATCGAGCGGAACCAAGGCTCCAAAGTCTTTGCCAGAGATCTGTCTGCCAGAAAGCGCCAACTGTCAAAGCTGAAGACAGAGTGTGGCAGCATCGTTTCCGGGGCACCTGAGATTTTGAGTGAGATTGAGAGGTTCTGTGGGCAGCTGTACACGTCATCGTTGGAGCCACACGCAAGTGTGAGTAACGATCCAAGAGCGAGTCTTATCCGACATTATTCCGATGATATCCCGGACGTCAGTCTGAGCGAGATTAGAATGGCTCTCCAGCACCTTAAAAACGGCAAGGCCCCAGGCGAGGATGGAATTACAGCGGAGCTTCTGAAAGCGGGTGGAAAACCGATACTTGAAGTCCTTCAGAAGCTCTTTAATTCCGTCCTCCATGGTGGCATTACACCGGAGGCGTGGAGCAGAAGTGCGGTGGTCTTGTTCTTCAAGAAAGGCGACAACGCTCTCTTGAAGAACTACAGACCGATTTCCCTTCTGAGCCGCGTCTACGTGCTGTTTTCGAGAGTCATTACGAATCGTCTCGCGCGCAGACTTGACGACTTCCAGCCTCCCGAACAAGCCGGCTTCCGAAAGGGCTTTAGCACCATAGACCACATACATACCCTTCGGCAAATTGTACAGAAGTCCGAGGAGTACAATTTGCCACTATGTCTGGCGTATGTGGACTATGAGAAAGCCTTTGATTCCGTCGAAATTTGGGCGGTGCTGCAGTCCCTTCAGCGATGCCAAGTTGACTGTCGGTATATCGAAGTGTTGAAGTGCTTGTACAGTAGGGCTACGATGGCTATCCGAGTACAGAACCAGAGTACGAAACCTATCCAATTGCAGAGAGGTGTAAGACAGGGTGAAGTCATATCCCCGAAACTCTTTACCGCTGCATTGGAAGATGTTTTCAAGCTTCTGGACTGGAAAGGATACGGTATCAACATCAATGGCGAGTGCATCACTCACCTTCGATTTGCCGACGATATAGTCCTTATGGCAGAATCGTTGGAGGACCTGAGCACTATGCTCAATGACCTCAATAGTGTTTCCCAACGGATAGGTCTTAAGATGAACATGGACAAAACAAAGATCATGTTTAATGTCCATGTCACACCTATGCCGGTAGTTGTTGGGAACACTAAGCTCGAAGTTGTTGACGAGTATGTTTACCTGGGACAAATAGTCCGACTAGGTAAGTCCAACTTCGACCGAGAGGTCGATCGACGGATTCAACTCGGCTGGGCAGCGTTCGGGAAGCTACGACACATCTTCTCGTCAGACATACCTCAAAACTTGAAAACGAGACTTTACACCCAGTGCGTGTTGCCAGTGATGACATACGGAACTGAGACGTGGTCCTTCACTGCTGGCCGGATGAGGAAGCTCAAGGTCGCTCAGCGAGCTATGGAGAGGGCTATGCTCGGAGTTTCTCTGCGTGATAGACTCAGAAATGAGGATATCCGCAGTAGAACTAGAGTGACCGACATAGCCCAACGGATTAGTAAGCTGAAGTGGCAATGGGCCGGCCATATAGCTCGAAGAACCGACAACCGATGGGGAAGAAAGGTTCTCGAGTGGCAGCCTCGTACCGGCAGGCGAAGTGTAGGGCGTCCCCCACTAGATGGAGTGACGACCTGGTAAGATATGCAGGAAGTCGATGGATGCAGGTGGCTCAGGACCGTGCTTTGTGGCATTCTTTGGGGGAGGCCTATGTTCAGCAGTGGACTTGTGAAGGGCTGTAATGATGATGATGATGATGAATTTAATTAACCACTCACCATCCAGGAATTAATTTGTCTGAATGGTAATTAATGATTTGTTGCCGAGCGGTGACGGGGCTTCAATGGAGTTTTTCCTGTTTGTGAAAATTTCATCCTCAATATGAAAAATGCGCAGGTACAAAGTACAGATATTCGAACGGATGACAGGCAGTGTCAAATGTGTGAAGTCTGGTCAACATGATAATTTTTACAAAAGCAGACAACAGCAAGGGCACGTAATCAGTTCACAGAATCATAATGATGCTGATAAAGAGATCTCCAAAGACATTAAAAAGAAGGTGTTTCTACATTCGTCTGTATTTTACAATTTTGTATATTTTAGGTGTTATGTGATATTTTTGCCAATTGTTAACAGATTTTTAAAAAAAAATTAAAATTATTTTATAAAAAAATTTATTGCACGTTCAGGGTTTTTATTATGCAAAGAAAAACTCTACACATTAAAAAAGGAAATATACAGTTGAAGTTTAAAAATATTTTACGGTTATTGATTTATTTAACATGATCATTTTCAAACACAACTACTGTATAAAATATATCATAAAAGTTTAATTTTATAGCAAATAAATGACAAAAAATCAAAAGAAAGTTTTCTTTCGTGAAGAATTGATTTTTTATTACGCCATCTACTTCATTAAATAAAAAAATCATTTTTTCGAACAAAAATTGAATGAGTCTCAAGTTGGTACGTAAAATAGAGGCTAGATGGTCTGAAGTTATGAAATCGTGGATTGTTGTATTAAGATCAATATGGTTAATTTTTTTATTTCATAAATTTGTTGCCTATCATAAGGCTCTTCATAAGTCCACTACTGAACATAGGCTTCCCCTAAGGAATGCCACAAAGCAAGCCACCTACATTCACTGACTTAATGCATTTCTTGCCAGGTCGTCCCTCCATCTAGTGGGGGTCGCGCTACACTTCGCCTACTGGTACGAGGCTGCCACTCGAGAAAACATTTCCCCCATCAGTTGTCGGTTTTGAGGTATATGAAAGGTCTGTTGCCACTTCAGCCTACTTATCCGTTAGGCTATGTCAGTCACTTTGATTCTACTGTGGATATCCTCTTTTGTAAGTTTATTACGCAGAAAAATTTCGAGCATTGCCCCCTCTATATCTCAATGAGCGACCTTGAGTTTCCTCATAGGGCCAGCAATGAAGGACCACGTTTCAGATCCATAAGTTATAACTACTGCTACACGCACTCGTTTTACAATCTCGATTTCAAGTTTAGAGGTATACCTGACGATAAGATGTTTCGTAATTTTCCGAATGCTGCCCACCACTGCTGCACCCAACCTGAGTTGAATTGATTGACCTCTCGTTCGAAGTTGGATTTACTTAGTCTGACTATTTAACCCAGGCAAACATACTCGTTAACAACTTCTCATAGTCCACATATGCAAGCCAAAGTGGCAGAATCTACTCGTTGGTCTTCTTTTTCATTGCGGAAGGGTATGTAAGTGGTCTATGGTACTAAAACCTTTTCGGGAACCGGCTTGTTAGGGAGGCTGGAAGTCGTCGAGTCTGCCTGCAAGACGATTCGTAATAACTCTCGAAAACACCACGTAGACGCGGCTCAGAAGGGAAATCGGTCTGTAGTTCTTCAAGAGAGCCTTGTGGCGTCTCCTGAAGAATAGAATAGAATAGAATAATTTTTTATTCAATATAGATTATTTCATAATAATTATTGAAAGTCGTTTTTTATTTACCACTGTTTCAGAAAATACCTCTGTCCTGGGAAGAACCAGCAAGAAACCCAGCGGGACTTTTTTTTCAAACATAATTCACTTAACAATAATTTCTTTTATACAATTTTTAAATGATTTTTCATAGAACCAGCATGGTGGCGATCACCTTATTCCCAGGAGTTATTTTCATTCATGTATTCCTTGATATTATAATAACCGTTCTTGTACAGTTTTTCTTTAATAAAACTTTTAAACTTGTTTATTGACAAACTTTGAATATGTTCTAGGATTTTGTTGTAAAAGCGTATACATTGCACCATAGATGAATTACTGATTCTGTGGAGTCTAGTAACTGGCATTACAAGCTTATATTTATTCCTAGTGTTTAAAGTATGCACATCCTTATTTTTATTAAAGCTATTTATGTTTTTATTTTCTTTTCTTAATTTTATTTTCATAAATATATTGCGATGCCAAAGTTAATATGTTTATTTCTTTAAATTTTTGTCTGAGGGACTCTTTACAATTTAGGTTGTAAATCGAACGGCTCTCTTTTGCAAAACAAATATAGTTTCAAAATCAGTCGCATTACCTCATAGCAAAATTCCATGAGACATTACTCTATGAAAGTAATTAAAATACACTAATCTAGCTGTCTCAACATCTGTGAGACTTCTAATCTTTCTTACAGCATATGCTGCAGAACTAAGTCTGCTTGCTAATTTAGATATATGGGAGCCCCATTGACGTTTTGCATCAATGGTAATACCGAGAAAAACAGTGGCATCCACAAGGCTTAACTCCTCCCCATTTAACAGCACATTGGTATACGAATGTTTTACATTAGGTATTGTAAATTTAATACACTTTGTCTTATTGCCGTTTAAGAGCATATTATTGGCGTTAAACCAATGTACCAATTTCGATAGAGCATTAATTACATCGTCATAATTAATTGACTGGCGTTTGAGTTTGAAAATTAAAGAGGTATCGTCAGCAAATAATACTATATCGTGATTGTCCCCTACAAGATAAGGTAAGTTATTAATATAGATTGACAATAGGAATGGGCCAAGAATCAAGCCCGAGGAACGCCCATCGATACTACCAATCCGGAGGAACCTTTACCATTGATCACGATTTTTGAGTTCTGTTACTTAAATATGAAGTTAGGAGTCTAAGCGACAAATTTTTTACACCGTAATGTTGTAGTTTCCTGATTAATGTCTCATGATGAACACAATCGAAAGCCTTGTAAAGATCACAGAAAATACCTAAGGCATCTTGTGAATTCTCCCAGGCATTAAAAATATATTTCATAAGCTAAACAAGAACACCGCACTTCTGCTACATGCCTCCGGAGTAGTCCTAATTAAAGAGCTTCTGAAGGACATCATCATCATCATCATTACAGCCCTTCACAAGTCCACTGCTGAACATAGGCCTCCCCCAAAGAATGCCACAAAGCACGGTCCTGAGCCACCTGCATCCATCGACTTCCTGCATGTCTTACCAGGTCGTCACTCCATCTCGTGGGGGGACGCCCTAAACATCGCCTACCGGTACGAGGCTGCCACTCGAGAACCTTTCTTCCCCATCGGTTGTCGGTTCTTCGAGCTATATGGCCGGCCCACTGCCACTTCAGCTTACTAATTCGTTGGGCTATGTCGGTTATTCTGGTTCTACTGCGGATATCCTCATTCCTAAGTTTATCACGCAGAGAAACTCCGAGCATAGCCCTCTCCATAGCTCGCTGAGCGACCTTGAGCTTCCTCATACGGCCAGCAGTGAAGGACCACGTCTCAGTTCCGTAAGTCATCACTGGCAACACGCACTGGTTGTACAATTTCGTTTTAAGGTTTTGAGGTATGTCTGACGAGAAGATGTGTCGTAGCTTCCCGAACGCTGCCCAGCCGAGTTGAATCCGTCGATTGACCTCTCGGTCGAAGTTGGACTTACCTAGTCGGAGTATTTGTCCCAGGTAAACATACTCGTCAACAACTTCGAGCTTAGTGCTCCGAACAACTACCGGCATAGGTGTGACATGGACATTAAACATAATCTTTGTTTTGTCCATGTTCATCTTAAGACCTATCCGTTGGGAAACACTATTGAGGTCATTGAGCATAGTGCTTAGGCCCTCCAGCGATTCTGCCATAAGGACTATATCGTCGGCAAATCGAAGGTGAGTGATGTACTCGCCATTGATGTTGATACCGTACCCTTTCCAGTCCAGAAGCTTGAAAACGTCTTCCAATGCAGCGGTGAAGAGTTTCGGGGATATGACGTCACCCTGTCTTACACCTCTCTGCAATTGGATAGGTTTCGTACTCTGGTTCTGTACTCGGATAGCCATCGTAGCCCTACTGTACAAGCACTTCAACACTTCGATATACCGACAGTCAACTTGGCACCGCTGAAGGGACTGCAGCACCGCCCAAATTTCGACGGAATCAAAGGCTTTCTCATAGTCCACATACGCCAGACATAGTGGCAAATTGTACTCTTCGGACTTCTGTACAACTTGCCGAAGGGTATGTATGTGGTCTATGGTGCTAAAGCCCTTTCGGAAACCGGCTTGTTCGGGAGGCTGGAAGTCGTCAAGTCTGCGCGCGAGACGATTCGTAATGACTCTCGAAAACAGCACGTAGACGCGGCTCAGAAGGGAAATCGGTCTGTAGTTCTTCAAGAGAGCGTTGTCAACTTTCTTGAAGAACAAGATCACCGCACTTCTGCTCCACGCCTCCGGTGTAATGCCACCATGGAGGACGGAATTAAAGAGCTTCTGAAGGACTTCAAGTACCGGTCTTCCACCCGCTTTCAGAAGCTCCGCTGTAATTCCATCCTCGCCTGGGGCCTTACCGTTTTTAAGGTGCTGGAGAGCCATTCTAATCTCGCTCAGACTGACGTCCGGGATATCTTCGGAATAGTGTCGGATGAGACTCGCTCTTGGATCGTTACTCACACTTGCGTGTGGCTCCAACGATGACGTGTACAGCTGCCCATAGAACCTCTCAATCTCACTCAAAATCTCAGGTGTCCCGGAAACGATGCTGCCACATTCTGTCTTCAGCTTTGACAGTTGGCTCTTTCTGGCAGATAGATCTCTGGCAAAGACTTTGGGGCCTTGGTTCCGCTCGATCGCTTCTTCAATACGAGCTGTATTGAAGTTGCGTAAGTCCCGCCGCATGCATTTTGAGATCTGTCTGTTCAGATGCCTGTATGCTGTCAAGTCCGTTGAAGAATGTAGCTTCATCTCCCGTCTAACAGCCATGAGATTAAGAGTGTGATCGGAGAGTTTTTGTGTTCTTCTGCGGCGGGTCTTGCAGAACTTAGCTCCGACCGCATGGACAGTTTCCACGAGCTTGTCATTCATATCATCCACTTCATTGCAGTCTTCTAGGCACTGAAAACGATTTTGTAACTCGAGCTGAAAGGTTTCGGGACTTTGGATTAGAGCACGAGGGGGACGGAGCGTTGACTTCATTAGACGAGACCTCTCCAACTAAACGTTTAGGTTCAGTGTGCCTCTAACCATTCGGTGATCACTACCAGTTTTCACCCTTGCGATCACGGAGACATCACTGAACAGTTGTCGTCTGGTCGTCATAATGAAGTCAATCTCATTTTTTGTCGAACCGTCGGGGCTCGACCAGGTCCACTTCCTGTGGGGCCGCTTCTGGAAGAAAGAGTTCATCATAAAGAGTTCCTCTTTCTCCATGAAGTCGGCCAGCTGCTGGCCCCTTGGGTTCCGTTGCCCTATTCCAAATTTCCCTACTTTCAGCTCACCGTTTTCTCTTGTGCCTAGTTTTGCATTGAAGTCTCCCATTAACACCGTATATTGGGTTTTGGAGGAATGCATGGCTCTAGAGATATCCTCATACATTTCCTCCACCTCCTGATCGGGGTGTGCCGAGGTTGGTGCGTAAACCTGTATGACCTTCAGCGAATACCGTTTGGTGATTCTGAGTATAAGGTACGCAACCCTCGTCGACACACTCCCGATCTTTACAACGTTGTTAACGAGAGACTTGTGGACGATAAATCCGACACCTCATTGGGACAGATGGTCGCCCTCCCGGTGATAGAGCAAGTTGCCGGATTCGAGGATTACCGTGTCCTCCCCCTCTCTTCGGACTTCGGATAATCCTATAATATGCCAGCGCAACTTGTCTATCTCTTCTTCCAGCTCCACGATCTTCTCGTCAGTCCTCAGGGTGCGTGCGTTGTACGTTGCCAGGTCGAGTCGTCTAAGGTGGCAACCGAACCTCCACCGGAGATTCTTAGCACCCCCTGCCCCGCCGTTACCATGGTCGCCACCGTAGCCAGGAATAGCGGGGCCGCCGGGGACTGGGGGCCGTCTGTTTGTTGCTTTAGTCATTGGGGGGTATTTGCCATAGTTGCCACGCTTGGCGAGCGGGTTGGCAACCGCAGTTTTTTTATTATAATTTTGGCTATTATCAGGAAGATGCTGCTGCCCATCTTCTGCCTGTTTCCCTTTGTCGCCTTTTACGACACCCACGGGAGGATATGGGGTAGTGGATATTCTTGACCGCCACTACACGGTAAGGAAGGACATCAAGTACCGGTTTTTCAATCAATCAATCAGATCAGGTTTGTCAATCAGAAGCCACGCTGTAATTCTCGCAACTCTCGAAAACGCATCTATAGTATTCTGGGTGATGTTGGTTGCAGGTGTCCATGTCGATACTTACCATCAACGCACTGCGCGGCATGGACTTTTATCTTATTTGTAACTCTATGCCATAAAATAATATTAACTAAAGCTTCATTATTGAATTTCAGATTGATAGACTTCAGTATCAGCTACGTAAAGACTTCGTTGCTCTAAGTGGAATGGGATTTTTCTTTCTTACTAAATCCTTGTTACTACAGGTAATATTTTTTATAACTATTTTTATAAAAATAACTGATAATGTGTATATCATCAGTATAAATATAATCTCTTACGCATGTAATACGGTTGATATTATGTAATTTCTAAAGACCGAATTTCGATCACGACGAGTCAGTAAGACTAACCACACAAGATTACAGTACCCGCGTGTATGCGTAAGCACAGGTACACTCTCGATACCGTCAACCTTTTACGCAGACGGAACAGCAATCCGGTGTGACATGAGATAGATCAGGCGCAGGACTAACTGCCAATTTTCGAGCTGGTACTGAGAATTTTCTGACAGAAAATTGCGTGAACTGATTTTAGCAAGACCCGAGAACAACAATCGTGTTCACGATCATTAGACAAACCACGCAGTTTACATGGCTGATGATATCAAATATGATATATAATATTCATTATATTGTATTGTATTGAGTTTCCTTTGGAAGAGGGTACCATTGTTTGGACGGAATCTCTTAATTTTTCTTAATTTTTATCAACTTGTAAAAGTCCACTGCTTAACATGGGCCTCTTTGGTTGTAGGGATAGGATGAAATGAATATTCGCCCTAATTGTCATACTTCACAGGCTTATTTACAATCGTAATATCAAACGTTTCGCATCTTTGTTATGCTCTCCGTCGGTAGTTTGGATATTTTATGGCATTATTTGGAATCCATTGATATACTTAATTATAAAGCAACCGTCGTTAACATTTTACAAACTCTCCAGGATGATTTAATTTCAATATTATGTTGTATTGACACAGATAATTGTTTGCTATTTAAGGATGTTTTGCTGTTGTTTACAGTGTGTGGTGTATTTACAAATATTCTTAATAATTTCAGATGGGAGGTGCAGTCGTAACCTATGAGCTAGTGCTAATACAATTTGATAGCACTGATTATAACTTAACGAATACAACTGCCTATTAGTTATAAAAAGTTATAATGAACTATAAACACTAAGTTAGCAGCATATCATATTCATTTTCACTGCAGGGCACAGGACATTATTTCATTCGTTAATTATAGGTACACTTTAAAACATTTAATAATTGACTTTTAAATACAGCTTTGCGTGATAGACGAGCTATGATTAAATCATCTTTTTGTTGCTAGTACGACCATTGCCATTTATAAATATAAAAAATAACAGAGAGACCTTACATTTTAAATATACAAAACGCACAAAAACATACCTGCGTTACTGAAAAACATTTCCTCTATATAAATTTTCTTTTTTTCGTAAATATTCAAATCTTCCTTATCCTTATTATATTATAAGTTTAAAAGTTCGTCTGTTTGGATGTTTATCTTTCAATCAAGCTCAATCAGCTGGAAGGATTTAAATTAAAAAATATATATACGCAAATGTAATTTACATTTTAATTAAAACTAAACTGCATTTTATTCCTACCTGTAACCTTTCATTATACTCAGCTTCTCCACGTGGTCATTTTTTTTTTAATTAATTTCACTTCCTTTCCTTAATGGTACACTTCAGAACATATAATAATTTACTTTTGATGCAGCTTTCTGTGACAGTCTAATTGTGATTAAATCATTTTCTTTGTCACTCGTACGATCTGTAATTCATAAATGTAAAAAAAAATCAGGAAAACCTTACATTTAAAATATACAAAACATTTCCTCGGTATAAACCTTTTTTTTGTGAATCTTCCTTGACCTTGTTATATAAAAGTGTAAAAGTATGTCTGTTTGAATGTTTATCTTTCAATCAAGCTCAATCAGCTGTAAGAAATTAAATAAAATTTGATATATAAGTAAATTTTATCACGAAATGGGACAAAGGATTTTTATAACGCTTTGGAGATCAAGGTGGAGGGAGTATTACGTATATTTAGGCATAATTACGGGTATGTATGTTACGTAAATTTACTTAAAATAATGAAGCTTCAATTTTTAGCTGGGAAAAATATCTATAAAGAAATGAAAGTTACGTTTTAATTAAAACCGAAGTGCATTTTATTTCTACCTGTAACAATTCATTAAGTTAATCTTCTCCACGTGGTAATATTTTTTTATGTTAATTTTTTATGTTTTATTTTTTGTGTTAATTTTTACTTCCATTCGTTAATGGTATAGTTCGGAAGATTTAATAATTTACTTATAAATGCAGCTTTGCGTGATAGTCGAGCTGTGATTAAATCATCTTCTTTGTCACTCGTACGATCTATAATTTATAAATAAAAAAAAAAAAAAACAAAAACTGAAAACTTCTAATTTAAAATATACAAAACATTTCCTGTATATAAATCTTCTTTTTTTCCTAAATCTTCCTTATTCTTTTTATATAATAAGTGTAAAAGTTTGTCTGTTTATATGTTTATCTTTCAATCAAGCTCAGTTAGCTGAAAGGATTTAAATAAAATTTGACTTCAGGCTTCAAGATCGTTTTCCTCTTTAATTTTAATAAAATATTTTTAAATAATGATATACAATAATTATTAAAAATACATGTTCTTATTCATTTTCAACAGACTAGAAACATTTCACTGTTGAAAACTGCTCTGAAATAGTATTTTTATTTGTCTGTCATAATATTAAAAAAAGTTTAAATATATAAGACAAACTCAAGTTTCAGAACGATTACGTCACATAGACCGAATAATAATAGAATCAGGTGTTACTTTGTGGAAATCCATTATATTAACATAATATAACATAGACCGAAGTTTAGAATACTACTCGTATTTATCACATTTTGCAATGTCGTGTAATTTATTGAATCTTTTGTTTTGATAAAACTTAAAAAATCAGAGCTGTATCACGTTATAAAGTTGTTTTCTACATACGAAAACCGTAAATTTTTTAAACTGTTGTGTATGTATTTCTAAATACGACTTAAATATTTACTACTTAATTCAATATGTACGACTAACCAAACGCATAAAAGTCAGTGTCAAATATGAAATAGACGTATTATTTTCGACACTGAAAAACAATATCTTGATTACTTAAAACGTCTTCGGTCTCGCGTGTAATTTTATTTATACAAAAATGGAAGCAAAAAGCATGTATATAGTCAGGTTGAGAAGAAACACTTTCTCGACATTTAAAAAAAATATAGGGCATATTACATCCTTGCGTAAAATATCGTCATTTTACGTAATTTCTCTTAAAATATTTTCAATTTTCATGTCAACAATCACGATCTCAAGTCACGGACTGTCCGCACTCAGATTTTACATCTCAAGTACACACACTTGAGAGGCGAGTTTCGTTTATTAACCAGAGCGTCACTCAGAGCTGACATCGTAAACCTAAGCCTTATCTTGAGGTATGTTTATTAATAAGATCATAACCTCAAGATTGTACTTAAGTGAGTGTACTTGAGCTGAGTAACGTTAATTAATACGGGCCTTAAAATATGGTTGTCTAATGCACTATACCACCTTTACTGACATTTTTGCTCCTCGCTTTATCTTCATTCATTAGCATAATTGCATTGCAAATGCGAGACTTAAATTTTGAATATACTAGGGTCTTACGCTGGAATTTATTACGCTGACTTTTTTCATATGTAAAAAATAGAACCCAAAAGGTTGTGGTCAATGGCTTTTCTTTGTATGTGATAGATGTGACATCAGGAGTACCACAGGGATCAATTTTGGGGCCGCTGCTTTTAGTTCTCTTCATAAATAAAATTAATACCTGCTTCAAACATACCCATTTCCTCTTATATGCTGACGACCTTAAAACTTTTCGGAAAATAAACACAACTAAAGATTGTAATAAATTGCAAACTGATCTAGATCGCTTGTCTGCTTATTGTGCAGCTAATAATTTACAGCTAACTTTATCAAATGTAAATCGATCACATTCACTAAAAATATTAATGTCATTCATTCCACATACACTCTTTTTAACACTTAGAATAACCTTAGAAATAGTCTAGAAGTTACATTTGCTCATATTAGTCACATTACGGCTAAAGGCTTTTAGCTTAGTGCTTTCGTAAGAAGGACCTGTAATCTATTCAAAAGACCTGCAACATAAGTCACTCATTAGGTCACAACTCAAATACTCTACTTGTGTTTGAAACCCACATTATGAAAAATATAGTGATCAGTTGGAATTGGTACAACGTAAATACCTTCGGTTTTTAAACTATAAATGCTTTAGGAAATGGTCATCGTATATGTGCTTTGATCATTATTCTCATACAAAATCTGTCATAATAAATTAGATTGTAATCAACTTATAAATCAAATATATGACGCACACCTAGTCGGACCCAACGCATTCGTAATACGTATAGTCATAACCTATTTGCTCCTAAGATGTGCCGCACAAAGGCTAGAGAGCGAGCTTTACTACGGCGTATCATAAAATCATATAATGATAACTTTACTCATCTTGACATTTTTGCTTTACCATTTTTAATATTTAAAAAGTGTATTTAAAAAAAGGACTATTAAGTTAAGTATTGTAGATGTAACTGTTGTTTCTCGAGACAAGTTTTAGTTAAAATAGCCACTATAGTGGTTGTGTTGGCTAGGATTTTCTCAGGGAAATTTCGAATTATTCATCTACTTGTGGTACAATACAACAAGTTTGCTGTGCAACATAATATTACTCTTATTGTGATATTACTTTGTAGATACACACAATCATGTAAAAAAATTAAATAACACGAGGGCGCCACTGAAAGTTTTTAGAACTCTTCACTTGTAAACGATATAATAAAAAAATAAGTTCAAATTTTGAAAATGAAACTCTATTTCAATATAATTATGTATTTATTTTATTTATTTTTCATTTGATTACGATTTGACGGCAAATTGAATATTGTTTGTATCACGTCAGCATGAATTTAACGCGAGAAAATTTTCGTACAATAATTTTATTTTGACTTTCGATGTTTTTTAAGTCAAAGAGAAAGATATGATAGACTTCGAATGGCCTACTACGATAAAGCCCCATCTCGTGTCACTGTTTACAACTGGTTTAATGAGTTTAAACGTGGTCGCACTAATCTCACCGATGATCTGCGTGAGGGAAGGCCTTCTACGGTGACGACTGAATATAACATCAGTGATATGCGGCGTATGATAAAGACTGACAAAAGAATGACTTCTCAACAGACACGGACAAGCTTGGATATTGGTATAAGTCAAATGCACAAAATCCTTTATGAACATTTAGCGTTTAGGAAGTTTTGTGCTCGGTGGATATCTCATAATTTGACAAAGGCCCAAAAACTCTACCGTGTTGATTGGTCTCGTGAAATGGTTCAAAGATTTAACGGAGAAGACTCAAATGCTGTGTTCGATATACCAACAGGTGACGAAAGCTGGATTTATTGTTATGATCCTGAAACGAAGAGACAGTCTGCTGTCTGGGTGTTTCCTTCCGAGGAGTTGCCAACTAAAGTGAAGAGAGGTCGAAGCGTGGGAAAAAAGATGGTAACCACTTTCTTCGGAAAGACAGATCATTACGCAACAATTGTTTTAGAAGATCGAAAAACAGTTACTGTAGAGTGATACACTAACAATTGTTTGCCACTTGTCTTGGAAAAAGTTCGGGAGAAGCGACTTCGCAGTAGAATCCTCCTTCACCACGACAACGCCTCGTCGCACACCGCCATGCAAACAATCGACTACTTGGCAACGTCAGACGTGGAATTACTGGGTCACCCACCCTATAAACCCCGATCTCGCACCTTGCAATTTATATTTATTTCCGAAAATAAAAGAAAAACTTCGAGTAAAACGTTTTATGGACGCCGAGAAAGCAGTGGCTGCGTTTCAAAATGCCGTCGAAGAGACCCCTAACGACGCAAAGTGCGCAAAGTGAATTTCTCAGTGGTTTCATCGGATGCATCGTTATATTGGTAAATGGACACTATTTTGAAAAGATATAAAAAAATTATTAATTCGCTAATTTGTTCAGTTTTTGCTTTTCTAAGA